CGTTTGTTACTAGCGGGTGGGTTTCGACGCTATCGAAGTAGCGCTGAGACATCTTGAAGTATTCGGAGATAGAGGGAATTTCACAATCGTTGTGCAAATCTGATATCCGTTGAAACCACCGTGCACCGGTGGCTTTTCGGATGAAAAAGTTTAGGACTTTTTGAAGTTATAGAAGGTGGGTCTTATAAGTGTGGCAAAAGCTACACTTGCGTAAGACATTATAGGTCTAATTCATTTTTTGTACAGGTGAAGTTTGTCTCTTAGCGACCGTTTATTCTTGCTGTTAACGAGAGGGTGGAGACGGCCAATTACTGTCTTGGCTCTGTTGCGTACTGCAGTTATGTGTTTCGCGAAACTCATGCGGGCGTCGAACGTGAGTAGACTGTCGGCTAGGCATTTGGCTTTTTCGAGATCGTCTAAGGCGATCTAGCCTCACGAGAGACGGCATTGCTTTAAAAGCTCTCATTATGTTCCAGAAAGCCTTGAGATGGTTCAATTCCTTTCTAAGTGGTTGTCCCAGCTATCACTACTCGTTGTTTAATATCGTTTTGTAGAGAACGTACCCAAAGTTTGTTATCTTCCGTGCGATAACGGTCATAAGATTTAAGCGCAGAATTCTTTGCTCTAATCGGTTGTCGAACATCTGCCGAAAGCTTCGTGTATTGATCACTTGACACACGAACCTTACGGGAGCATTCTTCGACTGCTGAAGTGAAGTGAGTCGACAGGGCGCTCAGCAGCGAAGGTCCCTGAGGGGCAAATTTGGGCTTTTGAGCCTGGAAAGAGGGCGCTGGCCGTTAGGCGGCCGCGTTTACAATCGCCAGGGGCTTTATCCATGCGTTTGGTATTGGTGCTGAAGGCACCGGAGGGCTTAGGCCTTCCCCGGAAGTCCCTATAACGGGGGCGGGTTTGGCGATAGCCTGAGGGGGTGCAGTTGGGACACCGAGGTCGGTGCAACAGAAGGGGCAGAATACCGTGGCCGTGACCTGCTAGCGCTAGCCGCTCGTCTGCGCCGGTTTACTCCTCCGCGCCGTTTCCTACGCGGCGCTTCTGTACACCCGCGATAACTCGCTGGGTGTCCCTCTTCACCGCACAGAACACAGCTCGGAGGGCCTTTCGACTCGGGTGTTCGGGTGCACTCGGGTGTACCGTGATCGTCTAAGCACTTAACGTACGTAGGCCGAGCGAAACAATTTTTGGCTGAGTGGCCGTATAGTTGGCCAATGCCACCGATGCCCCTGTTACGAGGAGTCTCTACTGCAACTCTCGTGAGGTTTTAGATTCAGCTGACATTGAAAATTTTTTTGCCTTCTGGAGACAGGTCCAGATTGACAAGGCATAAATCGTTTTTTGTCGGTGGGGTGGTGCATCCTGTACACTTCCCTGACTGGGAGATTTTGCGATTTAAGATCGCTGTAAATGTGTTCGGATTCGTGCTCTTTGGGGCGCCCAAAGACGACAACGCAGATGTGGAAGCTCAGGTTCTGAGTTTTTAAATACGCAGTTTTAACTCGCGCTTTAGCGCGAAAGTCATCCGTCGTTGAGACGTGAATGCGAATGCCCTGTCCATCGTTGTGGACCTTGGGTTAGAAGATCTTTTTTTAGTCAATCTAATTAGATAGATTACTCCAGCGCGAGTTATCCTGTAGAATAATAGGGGGCTGAGGCTTTTCCTTGCTTTCTGCGAAATAAAAAAATGAATCTGATAAGCAATTATGACCACCAACCATATGAAAGTTCGCCACCAGTGCAACCTTCATGTGCCCCTGTTTTGCATTCCAGACATTGGACCCATCTTCTTTGGCTATACTATTTGAATACGGTTCTAAACAACAAATACAAAATCATTGTTCTTCTTCACCTTCACTGTCTTTTTTCCCTTTTTTTTTCATAACTATCTTGGTCTTTTTAGTTTGTGGTTCGGATCTTTTTCCGTGTTTCCATAGCTTCAAAATTAAGGTGCTTAACTTTTTTCTTACCCATTCTAGCTGCTTCGATTGCAGCCAATTTATTTTTTAACAGGAGTATCGGTCAAGATTGCGCTTTTCACCTTTCGTCGATTCGCTTGATATCCTTTCCTTGGGGGAGCCTTTGGCAAGGATCGGACAGTTTCAGGTGAGAAAAGAGATGCCTTCATCATGGCTGAATTATCACGTGATGTAGATACTCAAGTTATTGCAATAAATGTAAAATATGTGGACAGAACAAGTTGAGGGTAGTGTGGAAGTACCAGGTGTAATCTCAGATGTCGTTCAATCAGGGGAGTTCTTATCAGGGTTTTCTGCAGATTTGATACATCTTCAGTTTCGAAGGCGATTTCACTAGCTCTAGGAGTAGCATGTAATTTCAGGACCAATGGACTTTGTGTACGAGAGTCATTCGACAAACTGTCTCTATTGGTAGGTGTTCGTGGACGTTCATATTGATGAATTCGAATTCATATGACTTGGTGTGGGTTCAATACTTCGTGAATTCCACAGATGGGCCAAGGTTCTCGGCGGAGAACTCATGGTAGGCCGATCAGTCATTTGGCTAGGAAGTTAATCAGCATCCTGAAATATTTCAGTGTTAACTGGCCCAACTCCGGTGACGCTAAATCCAGAAAATCGCGATATTTACTGCGATATCAAAGGATGTTTTCACTATCCCAGGAATATCGTAGATAGTCATAACTTTTCCTAGATAGGTCGCATCCAGTTATCGCAAGTAGTGTTAACTGCCTTTTTTACCGGTCCTAAAATAGCTCTATCCATTGGCTGTAGTTTATGGGTGCATTGAGTAGGAAATGTTAGAAAATGATTCCATTTTCTTCAAAACTCCATATTTTTAACAGCTATGCGAGGAGCATGGTTATCTAATAGCAATAAGACAATTTTCTTTTGATAACCTAACTTGGTCTGTGAAGAATTCAAGAAAGTTACAAGTCATCATCTTCCATCTAACCTCATAACCATTTGCAGTGCCAATTGATTCCGAACGTTCATCGCGTATAAAATGGTCGTTAAACCTTTTCCACGGAAAGATAAACATATATGATTCCAGAGGGTGTTTCCACCTAGAGTTATGTTCCCCTCTCCGCCGAAGTCGTGGCACTCACTTGTTTCTGTTCTCGCCAAGCAATAATGCGGTCAGGTCTCTGAACAGTAATTATGCCAGATTCGTCAACGTTCCATATTATCCTTCCCTTGTAATTGTCAAGTACAGTAGTGTAATCTCGAAAAAAAAGTTCCAAGATTGTACGATTGAAACTTGTACCTCGAGCTATACTTGTTGGATGAGGTATTAGTCTCAGATAACGAACAGGATGACGTTTCGTAAAAGACAAGCCAAACCTCACCTGCTATTTCATGCTCTGACTAAGAAGGACATTTTTTTTATTATACCAAGGCCAGGCAAACCTTCTAGCTTTCTTAATATTTAAGCCAAAGTTAGCAGCAGTGCAGGATAATAGATAGTTACAGAGTGCCTCATCATTTGAAGATAAAAAGACAGTCTTTTCTGGATATCCAACAGATGGAGAAGTCGCCGTTTTATTAGATTCATTAGCCTTTTTGTTTTGACACGCGTTAGCTGCCGTGTCGGACTATATGTCCGACAAGCTAATGTTTCAATCAGGGTTACGAAAAGCCATACTTCCATTCAACACCTCGCTGTGGCTTGTCGGACGCTTTTTAATCGAATTGGTGTATAAAACGTGACCCGCAAGGCCCCGTAAAGCTTATAAACAGCGCGTCAACCTAACTTTTATAAACTGTTTAGTATTAATAGCAGTATGAACATCGAAGGGACAATAACTTTAAATAAAAATTATATAGTTCAAGTCAAACGTTTATTATTACTACTTTTGGAGAACATAATTATGATTATCTTTAGAAATGAAATGTGAATTAAAACAAACAGCAACAGTGATTAAAATAAGATATATAAAGGTACAAAAATTACTTATGAGAAGCATTGTAACAGTTAAGACACAAATGAGGTTTTTCTGGACAGCCAGGTCTGTAACTGTAATAAGTCGCAACTTTTTTGTGTTATTGCGAGCTTGTAGTCTTCCTAGATTCTTGACTTTGTTTTTGTAACAATGTTGGCAGTTCCTATGAATATTTTTAGAAATGTCTTTTTTCCGTGTAAGCTTATGTATTGGTAATGGTCTTACCGGTCTTGGTGTATCTATTTCCTGCGGAGTAGTCATTAGATATTTTACTATGGCTTGTCTGAATTTAACAATGGAAATATTCCTTTTTGTTGTTTGTTTATATAGAACTAAGGCATTTACAATTGATGTATTGAGTAGTAACTCACAAGCAAGTTTTACTGTCTTATGCAATGGTGTTGAATATGCTGACATTTGATCAGACAGGTCTACGGCTGACTTCGCTTGGTTGTAGGACAAAATACTTTTGGGTTTCTTGGTTAACAAGGCCCCGTTTACTCGTACTTTCTTTTTGTGTGTTGGAGTGTTTTGTAGATAGCAGAAGTACTTCGCGTATATCTCGCCACTTCATAACGGTTGTTTGATTCTCTCTAGAAATATATTCACCAGGTTTGAGCTTCGTTTCAATGACTTCTTTCAATCATTCTGGCAATCTCTTTCTATTTTTGCGGAGCGTACCAACCAGATGCGTCTCTGAATCAAGTAACTTGTCTGCTAAATCTACACAGGTATACCAGTTATCGGTATACATAGTGTGTCCTTTATTCAACAGGTTACTACAAAGATTAAGAACTACATTTGTTAGTGTATTATTTTTAGACTCGGAACTTTTCCCTATATTTCTAGCCTAAAAGTGTAACCTGGCGTTGTGCATAATTTGAAAATCTTTATACCGTATTTATGCCTCTTCTGTTTCAAGTACTGTCTAATTATAATTAGGCCGCGAAATTCATTATGGTCATTATGTGTAGTCGAAAGCCTCATTCATGGCTTTCGTCTACACATAATGACTCATTGGGAATTAAATGGGCTTAAAAATTCATATTTAGTGTTTTAACTAATTTATCTATTTTGTGTAGTCGGTCACCTTTTTCAGTTTCTTTATTAAGAAATGTAGCATGCGAAGTAAAATTTTAAATTTGTTTCGAGTCATGGCATTTTTTGCGAAATCTTGTCGAAACATCGGATCTGTAGACCAGTAATCGGCAAGAGATGGTAATCTCACTAACCCCATCCACAGAATAAGAGCAAAGAATTTTTTTATCTCTTTGACGTCTGTAGGCACCCATTTGTGAATTCTTGAGACTCGTTTTAATCCACCCTTTGAGATTATTTGTTCTGCAAATAGGTTCGTTTGATATACGATGTCTTCAAAAACTGTGTCCGGTACTAGTAATGAGTAAAAGTTTTGCGGGTCTGAATTCGCCATCAAATGTCTCAGTTGAATAGGTTTTAGCCCAGGTGATTCTGTGTACGGTATAATTTTGGGTTGGTTACCTGTCGAGATTGACCACACAGCATTTGGCAAAGCGCCTGAAGTAGATGGGCGCGCAGGTGAGAAGCACTGCTCATCATCACTTTCACTATCTGACAATATACGAATTCGCTTCCTACTACCTGGAACAGTCAAAGATTCTTCCTCACTATCTGTGACCGAAAAACTGCGCTTGTGTTGACACGATAGTTCGATTTTATTAATTTCATCCAAATCGTCTTGACTTAATTCTATATCGTCGAAAAACATAGTTCACAGTCGAATATTTACTGTTTACGACACTTATATACAAAAAATTAACGAATAGTTGAAATAACCTCAAAATCGTATCTTAACACGTTAGCTGTCCAATGTACAGAATACAGTACACGCCGCCGTGGGTCCATCACGTCAGTGTACCGTAAATGGTACACTCGCCCCTGTGTCTTTCTATGCGCTCTAACTTCATGGACTTGTGTGTTATGTTGCTCTATTTATCAGGACTTGTCAACAGGACACCAATGAATAGAAAAAACGGAAAACATGATATATTCCTTTTTTTTCTAAATGTGGGTAGTGGCAAAAAAAGCAACTGTTTATTAGTAAAAAGGCTTTATTTATGTAAAGGAACTTCAGAATAACATTGAAGACAGTACGTCTTTTTACATTTATTACAGTGCGTTGTCACTCTTTTAGCTTTAGCTCTCGCATCCTTTGGAAGACTTCCCTGATCGATAAGTTTTTTGTAACACCTAACACATCATCTTCGTACAGATATGCCCCTTACTTTGCCAATATTTTCTAAAAAATGTGAAATCCTATTAGATGCTACCAGTGTACTTGATGATGAAGAAGGTGTATATGAGAGACTCCGTGTCCTATATCTGGAGCTTTTTTACCAGATTAACGTTTTTCTAACAGGCGTGTTGTAACTGGACAGTTGATCAGTAATGTCTATTCCTTTTTTTAGCTTTGTTGTAGGTAAGTATCATATCAGGCTTCAGCTTTGGAGTGCGTGCTGTCGTCATATATAGTCCTTTGCCGTGACAAGTCGACAATATACAAACATCTTGCTTGTCTTTCCATTTTAGAACAGTGATATTTTCATTTTTTTTTGTTTGACGGCAATTTCTCCTACTTGCAAAGCAGCATTTGTGACATCTTTTGGTATACCTCTCCTTTTTTTTTAGAGTACCACAGAGATCTGTATTACGAGAGAGAAGAAATTCTGCAAGAGGCACACTCGTGTAGTAATTATCCGTGACCATACAACGACCTTCATCTAACAGTCCTTCTGCTAATTTTACAACAATAGTTCCTGTTGTATCTAAACCAAAAAGCTGTTCGCTCTGTCCGCTATATATTTGGTATCCCCACGTAAAGCCATCTACAGTGCATAACTTATATATTTTGATCCCGTATTTATGAGACTTCGACGGTATAAACTGGCGAAAAATTAATCTGCCACGAAAATGCACAATTGATTCGTCAACAACTATGGTGTCCCCAGGCGTGTAAATCGATCTAGAATTATCAATAATAAGATCTAGCAAGGGGCTAATCTTGTATAGTCGATCATTTTCGCGTCGAGACGCTTCATTGTCGCAAAAATGCCAACATTTTAGTGTAAGTGTGAATCTCTTGTACATTTTGATATTATGAAGTAATGGATGATAATAAATTACATCCTTTTTCCAGTATGATTCTATCGTTGGGAAGGGTATTATACCCATTAGTAGAATTACACCAAGAAATTTTAGCATTTCTGATTTGTCGACATCTGACCATCGTTTTTTTTGCGACTGTGTGGCTTTGCCGGTTCTTGTAAAAGCCGCGCGGCATACAAATTTGTTTGTTGCACCATTAGTTTTAGGACATCATCATCAACAATTTTTCGGAAAATTGTATAAAGATCTGTGTTTACATCGAAAAGCAGATTTTGGCGAGTTGGTTCGTCGTGCCCTGTGAAAGGTAATCTTTCAATTCTCGATAAATCTTTTACAACTACCTGCCACTCGGAGTCAAGAGACACTGTGATTGTATTCGTCTTGACCTCGACGTTCGTGAAGATACATTTGGTGTGTTACTGATGGTGATGGGGCTGTCTGGTATTTCAGCATTTTCATGTTGTCCACTAAGTATTTCAGAGTGTGCAGACTCACCCATTTCTCCATCATGTTGTACCTCTCTGGCGATTGCTTCGACTGTCTCTTCTTCACGTTCATCAATGTTCACATCATCATCCTCGACAATTTCCTCATGGTCATTGAACAGTGAATCTTCACCATCAGACTCCTCCAACACTCTCCTGATATCTTTGTCGTCAAAGTTCTTCACATTTACCTAATATTATTCACACAACAAAAAATTGGCGCTCAAACGGACAAAAACTTTGAATGTGAGTTTTCACTTAGCCATTTGACAGTTGACAGAATTTAAGTCTTTTTTACTTTCTCTCAATGTCAATTTGTGACCATAAACAAGAATATTAATAAAAAAGGTGTTATTTTTTAAATAATTAGCCGTTCACAAGTCCACGGTACACGCTAAGTGTACACGATGCTTCAACTCGACAAGTCCCCCCCTTTACGTGTACCGTATACGGTACACGGAAAAGGTGTGATAAACCGAGTGATTTGTTATTAATTAGGCACATTTATCCAAAACTAGTTATTTTGTATTGATTTGAGACAGAATATTACAAAAAATGATTTGGACATTTGGGGTTATCGAAAAATTATATATGTTGAAATCCAGTCAAAATCGTATTTAAGATCGTTGCATACAGGGACGGAATCAGCACGTGCATGGGACGGAGACGGAACGTGGTTGTATGTCAACACGGTCGGGAGTTTAAAGCTTACGCACAGTGACAGTGACTCGAAACTAATGTGCTAGTGTTGTGAAAGATGAAGAATAGGTATTAATTGCTATTGCTTTAGATGACGAAGAAGGTGTAACCGTCAGAGTAAAAAAATTCTGTACATCCTACGTGGTAGAAAAAAGGACTAGGAGGTGAATGGGTAAGGCCGTGTAATTATGTACATAGTAATTCTTGAGACATTAACAAATTAGTAACACACGGTAACGCAGTAACGCTCGCGACCCATCTAAAGCTAGGTCTACAATGCAACAAACTAATTCAGCCATCAACTTATGTTAGTTGTTGAATTCGTTTTTTTTGACACGTTCTGCACTGTTTTATAAAGTAAAATATAATTTCGATGGTTATTTAGAAATAATAAAAAAGACATGTTTGAAAACAATTTATTTTTTAAGCGAGTAGTTACTCAAATAAGTAATTAAAAAAATACGCCGTACCTAATAGGACTTCAATTAACGGTAAGCATTTTTAATAACAGAAAAAATATTGAAATCATGCTATTAATGTAAACAAACTACTAGTTGTTTGTTATGCACAATTATCAATCAAATCTTAAGATGAGCATTATGCATTCTTATTTGCATTAGTAAAATTTATCGGCGTAGAAGAAAACTGAATAATCGTACATTGGATACCATCAACTAAATTCTATTACAATAAATTTTACAATTTTTTTTACATAAAATAAACACTAATATGTTTATGTTTTTAAAATATGACAGTTTTTCAGTCCCATTGAGAGCTTTCAAATCACAATAAGTTCTTCTTATACAAAGTAAACTCTATCACAACTTTAATTTTTTAGGAAGTACTCTTTCGAACTAAATGTTAACTCAACTTTCTTAACAACATTTGATGTAGGAACAATATCTCTGTCGACTTTTTTTGGTTTCACAAATTTAAATAGATTATTAACAGTTTTTAAAAAATTTATGCAATAAAATGTCTCAAGCTCTTCATTTACGACGTTTTCAATAAAACCTATATAGAACTTCCAAGATTTTTTTTCGTAATACTCAACAATCACACTGTCACCTTCTTTATTTTCAACTATTTCAACGGTTTCTTTTTCATTAAAGATTCGTGGCCCTTTTCCTCCTTTAGTTTGAATATTGTTACATTTCTTATTTTCTTCTGTTCTTTGTACTGTATTTGTGATTCCCGTGATCCTGTTTTCTACTTCAACTAATTTTTCCGTTTTCTTGGTCTTGTTTTCTGATTTTATTTGAACTAAATCCACGGTTTACGGTTACGGTCACTAAGCAGTTTTGTTTTCTTCTTCAATGGTATTATTTTCTGCTGTTATAATTCAGTTTTCCTCAATTTGAACTCTGTTTTCGGTTTTCATAGTACGCGTTTCGCTTTCCTGTTCTATTTGGTCCAGTACTTGATCTTGTATTTTCTCGTTTTCGATTATATTTTGCATTATTTCTGATTCATTGTCATAAAAATCTCTCGCAAATTCTTCTAAAAGTTGCTCGTCATCGTCAACACAGTAGTCACAAATTTAACGATGATCACTTTTAAATCATGATTCATATAATGAGTAAAAAGTAGGTACTAGTAATGAGTCAAAGTCTTGCGGGTCTGAATTCGCCATCAAATGTCTCAGTTGAATAGGTTTTAGCCCAGGTGATTCTGTGTACGGTATAATTTTGGGTTGGTTACCTGTCGAGATTGAGAGATCGAGACACATCATTTGGCAAAGCGCCTGAAGTAGATGGGCGCGCAGGTGAGAAGCACTGCTCATCATCACTTTCACTATCTGACAATATACGACGTCGCTTCCTACTACGTGGAACAGTCAAAGATTCTTCCTCACTATCTGTGACCGAAAAACTGCGCTTGTGTTGACACGATAGTTCGATTTTATTAATTTCATCCAAATCGTCTTGACTTAATTCTATATCGTCGAAAAACATAGTTCACAGTCGAATATTTACTGTTTACGACACTTATGTACAAAAAATTAACGAATAGTTGAAATAACCTCAAAATCGTATCTTAAGATCGCTGCATACAGGCAGGACGGAATCAGCACGTGCATGGGACGGAGACGGAACGTGGTTGTATGTCAACACGTCGGGAGTTTAATGCTTACGCACAGTGACAGTGACTCGAAACTAATGTGCTAGTGTTGTAAAAGATGAAGAATAGGTATTAATTGCTATTGCTTTAGACGACGAAGAAGGTGTAACCGTCAGAGTAAAAAATTTTCTGTACATCCTACGTGGTAGAAAAGAGGACTAGGAAGTGAATACCACACTCTCTACAAAGAAGATTTGGATGACAAGACTCGATTTTATATTTTTTTGTTCTTCTTTTAAAAACGTTACCCCTACACTAGGATTTTCTCCTGTATCGTGGTGGCAGTTTACAAACATAAATTGCACAAGGACAAACATCCAGACCCGGAACAACTATTTGTAGGGCATACAAATACTTGTTCCGTGCGGGATTCGAACCCGCGACCCCCAGCGCAGCCACTCATTGCTAAGCCACTGCGCCACGGAGTCGTCTTTCCGTTGTATATGTATTTTCGTATGAAAACATAAATGAAAAATAAAATTTATACTAACCATTTGTAGTGAGTGGATAATTCGACTGCAATTTTCCGCCACAATTTTTTTTAAATATTTTGTATTCAAGATGGTGTGCAAGATTATACCTTACAGAGTTGTTTGCGTCTTCAAAATATTGACATGACTAATGATATCTGAAATGGATAGCAAATTCTACAGTTCGTTTAAAACATTAGCTTACCTTTGAATAAAACTAAATTTACGGATTTTATCGCGTTTATTTCACTACTTTTACTTATTTTTAATTCCCGACGTTTCGTGTGCCTTACAGCACCCATGGTCACGGGGGGAACTGAGATGTTTGACGTCCCAATGTCATAGTTAGTCCGGCTACCTTCAGTTTTTGAATATTAATTTTTGGTCCGATTTACGCAAAACGAGCTTATAGTATCATGAAGTCTTGCAGTGGTATGCTTAGGTTTGGGTTTAATTTTGTTAATTATATGATCCCAAGCAGGTGGCAGCACCCATCCATCTTCTCTATTGAAATTTGGATGTTTTTTAATTTCAATAGCCTCGCGTATCATCCTTGGTAGGAATCGGTGTTCTTTTGCGAGGATTTGTGGTTTATCAAATCGAGTGTAATGGTGGGGACGATCTTAAACATGTTCGCAGACTGCAGACTTCCCGGAGCGTCGGTGCTTCACGTCAACTATATGTTCTTTCACGCGGGTTTTTATGGATATTTTTGTTTGACCTATGTAAGAGAGACCACATTCACAATTTAATTAAAAATAAGTAAAAGTAGTGAAATAAACGCGATAAAATCCGTAAATTTAGTTTTATTCAATGTGTAGAGTTCGCGTAAATTTAAGAAATCATTATTAGCTTACCTACCAAGTTAGTTGTGTATGGCTTACTGAAGCATATCACAGTTCCTCACAAGATATAACTATCACCCATCACTGTCCATAACCGTTGTATAAAATAATTTAACAAATAAAAATATAAAATTGATTTTAGTATCTATGTCCAAAAAATCAGTCAATATACCTACATTATACTGACTTAGATAACACGAATTTCAGTTTTACTGTCTATAAATATTATTCTTATTCTTAACAAACACAATAATTGCAAAACCGCTTCGAAATACCGTCAAAAGTCAAACTATGGGTTGCATAATGGTACAGAATTAAATATGCTTAAAAATTAAGATATGTGACGTAAAATACATAGCAGGCGCAGTTGATGAGTTTAATCTATAATGATCTTGTATAGCTATGTGGTTTATGACACGGTGGTTTTAAAGGAACATTTAATATATCAACGTCCATGGCTACATTTTGTTGACTCCATGAATACCGAACTCATGACATCTGTTTTTACAGATTGTGTGTATTGCAATAAGGATGGCATTAAAAACATAAACTTATGAAAAACATGTAGCGATTTTTACAGGCGCAACAACGATAAGCGACATCATTGAGTTCACTTTTTTGTCACTAAATTTTTAATGAAATTTCCAGCATTCATTTTTGTAAACAAAACTTCTTTAATTGATACAAATAATTGCATTATAATATTTAATGTTTTTAAAAACCTAACCTGTATTTTGTATCTGATTTTAATAGCGAATATAATTTTGATAATTCGTCACTAAGTATAGTTTGTGGCTTCCGAACATTGCTCATGAATATTGTATATATGGGTGATGTCATTTGGAAGAGTGTAAGTATTCCAAAGTAATGTAATTTAATAAATTTTGTGGGTGATAATAAACCAATGATACTGCATTGATTTTCTGTATTTTATTAATTGTTCATTGCACAAAATCAAACAACGCAACGTCGGAAAAGTGAAAAGAACTCACTTTGTTCTGACTTCACTTCTAGCACGTATTCACGTTCACGGTCACAAAACTAAGAATAACTTCGCTAAATCTATACTAATACTTGATATTTTTATTTTTTTAACACAAGACATTCAGCACTACCTTTTACGAAAGGGTTTTTGAGTATAATAAATAAAAGACGCAATTATAATACGTTTTCTATATTACAAAAATACATCACAAGGTATATATTGAGCTTAAATCCTGTATAACGATAGAACACATTCACTCCAACAGTTTGGGTTGAGATCAACAAGAAAGTACAAATTTATCAACTGGGAAATAAACATCGGTAATTTGGCCGCTTCATTTGTGAAAACTACTTTTGATTATTTCACCAGGAATAATCGTCTCATATAATTTTCAGAAAGTTTGAATCTAGTGTAACAGATACAGGAAAATACATAATGCATTTCAGGCTAACACAATAGTAAGGACGAACTAGGACTTGCCATGGTTACCAACAGTTACAAATGAAGCGGCCCCAAATATAAAAATTCACTCAGTCAGTACAAGACATATTTTATGGCACACCTATTCAAGATCATTCAAAATTATTATAGTAGACCATACTCTAGCATATTAATTACCATTTCTTTTTAATATAAGCGTTTAACAAAATTAATGCAAGACTATCACGTCAGTTAAATTACGAATAGAATCATTACACTTTTGAACCAATCACTGGATAGTCCTACATACGCCAAATGATGCATGTCGCTTATAAATATAGAAAAATGCGAAGGGGAGCGACAGAGTATGGCCTATCTATAACAATAAAAATTAACTAATTTTACGAATTTGTTTTACTCAATACAAAATAAGTCAACGTTATTTATATTGACTTATTTTGTATTCGCGATATATCGAGTGCTTTGCAGTACTCAAGATTACGGGAGAATGAGGCTTAGAACGAGATCATCATTGTACTTGGTTACCTTTAGCTTTTAATTATTATTTTTTGGCGTAGTACAGTCGTTGCATGCTTGGTTAATTCAATTAATCACAAGCGTATGAGATCAAACCAAAACTTAGCCATTAATAAACCTTACTCATAAAAATCGACCAAAAATAAAAAAAAATTCTCTCTTTAAATTTCATTTTTTAAAATTTGTTCTTTCTAACCGACTTCGAAAAAGGAGGTACTCAATTCAATTGTATGATTTTTTGCGTGTGTTAGAACTTTCTTCGAGGTGAATCGATTTTGATGATTCTTTTTTTATTTGAAAGCTGGTGCTTCTCGTTTTTGAGTCATCCTTAATAATGCGTATTTAATTGACTTCAAATACATTGATGATTATATATATATATATATATATATATATATATATATATATATATATATATATATATATATATATATATATATATATATATAGCTATATATATTATATACTATATATTGAAGTCGGTTGTAAAATAAAATTTTATTTTACCACTTGTTACTATATTACAACAAAAAGAGATAGATATAGACTCTATATCCATATTATAGAGATAACTTATTAAATTAATACTTTAGTAAGCCATGATCAATTAATATTGATTGATCGATTTGAGGCTGGGAGCTAACTCCCTTAATCATAAACTTTTTTAAACACTTGATTAGTTAAATAGTGTTTTGTCACTTTCTAGCAACTCAGAATGTAATTTTTTTTATGAACAAGGAGGTAAATGAACAGCAGGAGTCAGATATAGAGATCAGATATATAATAATCGACAATCAATAAGCGACAGTAGCCTAATGGCAGGGCGCGGGCCGCGAACTCAAAAAGGTCTTGGGTTCGAATCCGCCATTCGACTACTGGCGTGAACCACTCGTAACACAAGCAATTTAAGCTTACCCACGAGTGGTTAAGGGAAATATTAGTAATGTTTATAGCATTATTAATATTCTTTTTTTGTATTAAAAAAAATACAAAAACTGAAAAGCCGAAAGTATTTCGAGTTAACTGTCAGTCATATCAGTTACATCAAACACCTTAGTCCCTTTTAATCGTGAATGCTGCAAACCACAGAAAACGTCTGAAATATACAAGATAAAATTGAAATCATTGACTGTTCATAATGTTGTTCTTATGATAGTAGATGCAAAATAAAATATAATAGCAATTTTCAAGTGCAAATAAACACGAAAATATTTGAGACACATTACTTTTAGAAATTTCATTCGGCAATGAGAGGAGGCCTGTGCTCAGCAGTGAGACGTATATAGGCTGTAGGGCGTGCTGCCCCAATTTTTGGGCGAACTTTATATGTCTTCGAGCTTTTTTTTTAAATTTTTTAACACGGGACTTCCTCACTATGTTTTAACCGCATAAGTAAATAATAAACACCAATAAATCGAATTCTCAAAATTTTGCAAACACAGTTAATCGGTTTAGGGCAAAGGCAAATTATAAGCCACATGCATTCGAAAAAATTTAAAAACAGACACGTACCTAATTTACTTCAAAATATTCCTCAATATGAGTAGAATGATAGTGAGCCTGTCATTCTACATATT